ATTATACAAGCGTCATTTTAATTCAACCCTTTATTTTTACTTTTTGTTTTTAGTCGAAAATGTTTTCACTTCAGGAGCCAAAAGTTTATTTTTTACATCACCCTGTAACTGAAAAAGATCGCGGAAAACATCAAAAATAATTTTGTTTATTAGTTTATTTTATTTTTCATTATTAGTTTACCATATTCCGATCTTATTGCCGAGGACTTTGAGTTGAACATACGTGTAATTTGATTGACTTTGCTGAACAGGTCCTTTGACTCATTCTTGTGTGCCTGGTGCTTTTCGGAATTCATCGGAACGCAAACCCTTAAATATCTCGATTTGAAGATAATTGGATTTAGGCCACTTTCAAAATAAACGGCTCATATGTTTTAAGTAAATTTAAAACCCGGCGCTCATATTGGAACACCTTTCAGAGATCGTTCTTAATGTAAAATGGAACCAACATAGCTCAAAAATATAAACTTACTGTTCAGCCTGAATAACTTTGGAGCCAAAAATCCGCTTTAGCTCATTGTTGGGATTCAGATGCTTATGTTGAATATTCAAAATAGATTTTTGATGGTGTTGAGCTTTTCGGCTCTCGGTCACAATTTGCGGTGTTTCTCCCAGAAGACTATTTACTTCCCGCAATGATCGCTCCACTTCATCGACCTTAAAAACAAATATTATTATTATATTAAATTTTTGCAACTATCACAAATGTGATTTTTTAGCAGCTCTTCAACAGGACATTTGCAATTTAAAACTAATTTATGTTTTACTCCCGAACAACTTTCTGCAACTGAAAAACTAGTCTAGACAATTCTGTGTATTTCTTGAATTAAATTTGAATGTTTCGTAATGAAGAGTCTTTTTCTGGGTCACATAAATTATTTTCACTGAAAACCCACCCCAATACATATATTTCCGATATTTTTTCAGCGTTTACGTTAATATCTGTTTTACAATCAGACAATGAAACTGAAGTTTGCATGGAAAATAATGCCTTGAGACTTTTTGTTTTATTTTCAATTTCTTTTTTTTTGGAAAATAAATTTTGAGACATCTTTTTCGCTGTTACTATCGGTAGACGACTGTAATAACCGATTAGCCATTACAGAACGTAAACTACACCGAAATTTCACGTTGTCGGGTGTTACATTATTGCCGTTTTCCTCTAATAATAGGGAATAAATTGTCGATGTGATCTTGAGCAAAACGTCGAGTAAATAAATATTCATAATTAAATTTAGTTGTCAATTCGTCAAAAAGTACTTGTAATGCATTTATATTTGAAATCCACCCATCAATGCAAGATGGATTACAATACTTTTTATTCATAACTTTTAAATCACCCACATATATTTTCAATTCTTTCAGTTTTTCTAAATGATGACTGGATTTTACTGACATAGGTTTTTTATATATTTTATCATTATAAAATTGAGAAATAAAAATATCAAAAAGCGTGTCAATTTGTGATATAAAATTGGCCGTATGTACTGCATTAGAAGGTAAATTGTTCATCGAAACATGACACAAAATACCAACATAAACCGAGTGGCTTAAAACCTGAGTTGCTAAACACACTCTCATAGGGCTAAAAAGGGGCAACGTAATACACCTTTTTTATAACTTTGGTGCCATTCTTGGAATTTTATTTAATCTAACCCATAAAATCTTTGAATATATGACCACAAACTTCATTTTTACTTTGAATATCATATTTTTTTAAAATTATTTTGCAAACATTTTAGTAAATGGGGCGTATCATAGAAAAAATATATTCTTTCGTTGCGAAAATTAATACATATATGGTTTCTCAACTGTTACAGAAAGCAGTTTCCTCATTTTTACATTGCTAGTGCCTAAATCGCAAACTACCGTCTTTACGAGAAAACCAGTGTCTCAAATTTTTTCAATAGAATCTAATACTATTTCTTTGAGTACATGACACACCTGACAATGCGTCCTTACTTAAAAAATAAAAAAAAATAACCTACTACTTGCCAAAAATTAACATAAATACCCTTAAGCATTATAACCATTGCATGATTGCGGTAGTTTTAAATAGTTATTTTGTTTGCATATAAGGAACATTAACTAAGACTGATAGTAAGATCAAGAAACTCAAAATACTAAATATTTTTTTGGATGACCAATAACGATTTTTTTAACGAAGTTAAGTAATGCTACCTAGACTGTAAAATTAAATTATTAAATAAACGTATGTATATAAAAAAATCTGCATTAAAATTAACAATTATTATACAGGGTGTTACAGAAATAAGTACCTAAATTTTAGATTACACTCGTAATTCAGAAAAGTCAGTAAGCCAACAAGTAACGTTCTGTTATAATAATTTTTTCTTAGTAAACAGTTAATATGGATCCGCCGTACTTTTTGTGTCCTTCAAGTAATCCATTACAAAATGTAGGATCTTCCTATAGAGCATAATAGTAAAGCGTAAAGCATAATAGTAAATTCAATGAATAACAAAAAAAATTATGTAATAAAATTCCGTATAATATTGCGTACTTATGTGCGCATGCTGTGGTTATAATTAAAATTATCAATCTGATTATGCATCATAGTCTATCAAATCTCAAATTTAGAATATTTATTTTTGAAACTGAAAAATTAATTTAACAATGAATACTCAAGTAGTAATTAACGATAGCCCAATTTTTTGGAGGTCTTCTTGGTTAGCAGTGGATAAACTACCGTCTTTATTCCTCAAACATTTTTTTTCGTTGAAAATAGTCTTTGTGGGAGTATTTTTTTGTTATGAGGAACCGGACTTTTTCTAAGTCTTGTTGATTTATTATATCACTATTTAACGTTGGCATACTTAAGGTTTCAATACCAACTTTCATTGCCTTTAGATGATTTTTTATGATCTGAAGTTGTTCAACATTTGTAGTTGCATCAAGCACTTCTCTAAATTGCACATGCAAGTCTTCTTTTTCCAATTTAAAATTTTCCGCGTTTATCATCTTAGCTGGTTTATTTTTTTATGCCTCTTTCACTAAAATTTTCCGCTCAATAATATCGCAGTTTGTTAAATGCATATTATTATAAGAACTGTTGCTTGATTTCGATATAAACGTACATTTGGATGGATGGATGTGCTTACACATATTCCACTTCACACTGCAGTCCACGCAGCTGCAAGAAAATTTGTGAATGCATGTGTTACATGGTAAGCAACGTAAATTACATACTCTTTCACCATTTCTTGTATATAATACACTTCAGAACACTTTCTGGAAACAACAGACCATTCATGATGACGTGTTCTAATATCAGATACTTTTTTTGTAATGTTTCCTTTATGTAAAGTAATAATCCTATCATAGAGTCGATCACGCACACATTTCATTAATACAGACAGCATTGTATCCTGTCTTTTATTATTTTTCTTATGAAAATAAATGTATTTGAGGGTTCTATGCATCCGTTCCAAATGCATATTTGTATTAAAACCTGAATGTAACCGGTAACAATAAGCCCATGACCTAAGTAGATTTTAAAAATTCCTTTTGAAAATATTCCCCAAATGCCTTTGTCGCAGAATCTTTTAATAAGTGAGAAATGGCTGATTTGATCATACAATTAAAGGCATTCTATCAGTTTCTTCTAAAACTGTACGCAGTATTTTATACGTCTGAATTTGCTCCTCTTTTCCACAAATTTTAGTCATATTTTTTCTCCAGGCTCTATCTGCGTGCCAACTACAGAACAGCCTTTTTTCAGGAGCACCAAAGACATTAACATATGCATTAAAATAAGCCTCAGCCATGTCGGACATGAATACTTTTGAAGAAAGGGCACCCACTTTGTCTTTTATACAAGTAAAAAACCATGTAAGAACTTTTTCGTCACTTCTATTGCTAATCATAAATGCGCAAGGAAAGCCTTGTCGTAATTCATCAAGAATCATCAGTTTTTAATTGTGGGTAATCCTCGAGAATATGGTGTTGACGTTTATAAAAGAGAACGGAAGAACCATTATTCTGTGATTCATTAACCCACATGTTAATGCTAACAGCTCAATATTTAAATTAAAGCTGTTTTCTATATTATGCAGATCCCTTTTCGTTAGGAGATGTAGCCTCTTGATATCACCTTCTGCGGTTATAGATTCACGAACTTCATCCAATATTGAATCAAAGGGTATATTGGATGAAATCTTTAATGCTATGTAATTTTTTTCATTTTGATTAAGAGTCAGATGTCCTAAGTTATTTTCATGTCCAATGTGTGTTTTATTACATCTAATGCTAACATTTCCATTAATTTTGTTTGTCCCTTGAAATTTTATATTCCTTTTTCCTCTACTCTGAGAAATAAAGAATCTGTTGTAGTATCTTTGGTTTTGTGGGATCCCCTGCTTTGAATAAACTTAGAATTTGCTCCCGCCTCAACTTTTTCCTCCAAAAGTTTGAATTCAGTTTTGGATGTAAAACTCATACACTCATTATCCATCAGGACTCCATGCATTTTCTCAAAATGCTCGACTATTGCAGTTTTTCGAAAATGTTTCACTGACACATGCCACAAATATATAAACTTTTGGCATACTCAACATTGTGTTCCTTGCGTTCATGTTTGCTCAGGCAAAGTTTATTATTATATTTTTTTATTACAGAGCATGCATAATTGCGATCACGTAAAGGACAGATTTGATCGACTTTATCGGGATGTTCCTTTTTAACATGCCTTCTAAAATAGAGATTATATAATACTATTATAAGTATAATATGCTAATATTAATTGTATATATTTTCCTGACTGTCAGTCAATTTTATTGTTTATCATTTAAAATGTTATAAATACGTTTTGGTGTTTTTCTCCGCCATCATCAGTTTGTCTAAAATATACATTCACAGTCGTCATTAGTTTAAAACAAGAGCTCTCTTAAAACATACATACTAAAATACAAATTACAAACATATTAAAAAGTATATTAAAATCGTTTGAATCTCCTGGGATTACGGTGATGAGAACCTGTATAATAGAAAACCCACAGAACATCCCCCCAGGGGAGATATTCTATGAGAAAATCTTATTTCTGATTGGTTGCCACAAAACGTCAAATCACGATACGTCAACGGTACCATCATGCCGTGTGCTCTGGCTATCCGCTTGTGTGTTCGAAGGCCCAAAAATTTGCAACGCATTTGAAAACCGTCAACTGCTCGGTTATTATCTATCGTAGCGAAAAAGTGAATACCAACTTTTTCATGGAGATTTAGAAGGCCGACCGACGTTTTGACAGAAATTTTTTTTCGAATTATTCATTTGCACGAGATTAGATGTGGAAGTCACATGAGTCAAAAAAAAATTCCTCTGTGAGCTACAGGGGGAAGACGAAAAAGTGTGTACAGACGATAAATGAGATTAAACAAACATGAAGCTGCGTACCGTAGCTACCTCATCAATTCCGGCTAATATTGAACAGCTTGCATCGGAAAAACAGTGCCAAATTTATCACAAAAAAATTGAACTAAATTCATTTTTTGGTTCTTTTCTTGTTTCTTTTGCATTAAAATTTGTATATGAGATTTTTACAATTTTTTTAATTTTATATTTTCTATTCTAATGTTTATTAGAACTAAAGTTTGGAAATTTATTAATAAGTGTTACTTTATGTGCGGCCCGCCAAAACATTTTAAAATTTACATTGGCCCGTGGATTAAAAAGGTTGCTCACCCCTGGTTTAGAGCATAATCTAAGAAAATATAGATTCAATTCATATAACGAGTGCACATACTTTCTTCAGTGTTCCTATAATAAACATCAGAAAGTATCAGCATAATGTAAATTCCGGTAAAATATGTAAACTAGTTCTAACAACTTACATCTGCATTATCCTCGCTACTGCGATGCTGGTTGGCTGCATGTTTCCCAGAATTTTTCTTCTTTTTTTTCTTCCTCTTTTTCTTCGGACATTCCTGAACATTTTGTCCATCGCACGATTTTGCTGTTTCCGTTTCGTTATCATCTTCTTTTACTTCACTCTCGGATTGCGATTGCTCGTTTAACTAAAACAATACAAATATTGTAAACATGTTTTCAATACCAGACCGAAAAGTGTCTCGTCTTCGTCTCGGGTGTCAAACGCCGTCGTCGTTCGAAAAACGGATTTTTGCCCTCGTATCGAACAATATTTTTTATTCGAATGATAGACATAACACGAATCATAAGCTAAAATAAATAAAAACAGTAAAAAATAAAAGGCGTCAACTTCATATTCAAAATTTGCCATTGTCAATGCCATTTTTGAAATTGTTTTAACGTTTGTAATTTTTCAAAAGCGTACTTTTGTAAGCATATACAAGTGCAACAATGAGTGTTGCTTTCGCGGTATTGTGTTTGTATAAGATGCATATTTTGCAAGACATTTGCGATATTTAAAAAGACCATGCTTTGCATGTGGCAACATCGGCGAGCGCAGAAAAATAGACCATTAGAACGACTTTGAGACTGAACTTGTAACAAAGTTATAATTTACAAATTGTAAGTAAACTTTAAATTATGATGAATATAAACCTACGTAATTCATTAAAAAGCCTGTGGGTTACTTTTTAATGAAAATACTTTAAAAAATATTATGACGTTCAATTTGTCACATTTACCTTTGCGCACATGTGCGTAAAAGTAAAACAAATGAACAGTAGAAAAACGTGCTTCTTTTTGATCATCGCTTCCGATCGAAAAATGGCAGTTTTTGATTCATGCGAATAAAAACTACTGTTTAAATATGCAGCGTGGGCCAACGAAAAGAGCGCACACTTATTTGTCCCTTGTGACTCCCTGTAGATTTGAGAAGAAAACGCGCCAACTTCGATTTTTAAGGGAACATCTTTCTCACAGTGATTATACAGGGTATTTCATAAACAAGATACTACGTCACACTGTTGATTTTTAAATAGAAACCTACGAGTTGTATGTTATTTTTTGATCCTGCCAGAAGTTTGTCGTAAATGTGGTATGGGCATGTCTTATACTCATCTTCAACGGTTTTAAATTCATTTGCGTTTGTTGTTATACAAATATAATTATAAAATACGAATGATGTTGAATGATTGAGATATTGGGCCATTTGAAAGAATCGCAGATTGCCGTTTCTATGGATATCTCTGACTGATTAGCAAAAACAACGAGTCGCCATCAAGTGTCAGTCATGTTAAACTTGACTTTGTAAGGCTTGACTTGTTGACTTGTAAGTAGTTTTCGATACAAGGGCAAAAACACGGATTTACTTAAAAAAATATAATGGCAGAGACACGTTCAATTTGTTACATTTACTTTTAGATACAATGTGCGTAAAAATCCGTGCATAAAAGCAAAACAAACGAACAGTAAAGAAAAGTGCTTCTTTATGATCATCGCTTCTGATCGAGAAATAAACGTTTTTATTCGAGATAAGACAGGATGAGAATGGCCTTAATCTGCATTTGCGATAAGAAGGAAAACAATACAGTTTCATAATACAATACAATAGATGATGAATTGCATCCTTGTTAAAATGCACATCTATACAGGGTAGGGGAACATCGCAGACAGATGTTTGACCACATCGATGTTCTGATAGTTTGCCGTTGCATACAAATTCCAAATTGGTTAACTTAAACTTAAATAATTTTATTTTACTACTACTATGACATTAAATAATCGACTAAATTTATTCAACTTATAGTTGCCACATTTTTCCGTCAACTGATTGCAAAAAGAGGCTTTTTTCGGGTGCAGCTGGAAATGGGCCGCTATGCCGCGGTATCGTTTGTATCGGCGCTATCCAAGAGTTCGCAGAGAATGTTTCTATCTAGTATCAATATCAAATGTCCGATGTTTTCATTTCAGGATCTAACATCGATTTATTATCGATGTCTCAAATTTCCAACATCGATGGTAAAAATATCGAGCATCGAACAAATTAACGTTTCGCAAACATCGATGTTTTTCTCCCATCCCTAATACAGGGTATCCCATCGACAGTGTGCCGAAGTCATGGGGGGCAAGCGATTTAAAATATTTTCAACATGGCAACACTTTCGGTTAAACCGTAAAAAAAGTAGTCAATTATCAATTTGCTTATTTAAAATGGAACACCCTATATATTATTACATTTTTGAATTTTACTCCACATTCCTATACCTAAGTCTAATCGTTTTGCATACAGGGTGAGTTTTTTTCGATGACCAGTACAGGGATCTTCGAAACTATAGCAGTTACGAAAAAGGTAAAATGGACAAAGAATTGTAGTTTTGAATGTTCTACTCGAAGCTAATTTTCTTTTTCTAAAACTTCACAGCTGTCAAGAGATATTTGTTTTCAGTCAGTTTCCAAGTCAGAGCAGACGAGCAGCTCTCTGCAAGCAGGCCAATGATGTCAGGAGTACCGCAGGGGGCGGTTCTGGCCCCTACCCTGTTCAA